AAAGTGACAAGTTAATTCTTAATGCACATTACGTTAATATTTACGTTAATTTTTCAGGGTTATAGTTTTTCATTAAATTGAAATAAAACATTTTACATTTTGGTTTTCCTAGAGTATTGAAAATGCATGTAGTTCCTACTGTGTATTATAACGTGCGGTGACAAGGTTTCGCGTGTGTTATAGAAATTTGAACGTCGTGGATTTCTAATGGATTTCATAAGGAAAACTACACTGAATGTAAATATTAAGTTATAACTGTCCCAAACACATCATCATAAAAATTTTTATGTTTCAATTTTTCATTGTAATAGCACACTTTATAAAATACATGTATTTGATTTTTTTTTACACAGAAACAAAATGGAAAACAGAAAAACTAAACACTACAAAGCATGGAAGCATGAAAAGGCCCATATGAAAAAATACCAGAAAATGAAACCGGAGGTTAATATCTTTCGGTTAGATTATTGTATATTTTTTGCATATATTTTGTATATGTAATAATTTCTCAACTAACACTCAAATTTGATTTCAACAATAAATAAAAGAAATTACCTTTAATACAAATCAAACTCATAAAATATGGATTATAAAATAAAAAGCGTTAGTACTATGTATTCCTAACAATATCTCAAGGCTATTTAAATCATTTCAGGCTATTGAATTCACCAACAACATGATTGAAAGAGATACTAGAAAAGATTCTGGTGATAAATTAACCAATATTACAGAAATCTCCAAATGTGATACCAAAATTTTAGGAGAGAAGAAGAATGAAGATTCTTCAGGAGTGGGGGCAATTACAATTGATAAAATAGTGTTGGCAGCCAAAGACACTGCTTGCGATGAGGAATTGTCAGAGAAGTCACCAGTTCATGATGCTATGTCAAAGGAAGATATGTCAACAGAGAAGACAACAGTAAATGATGAGGATAAGTCAGCAGAGAAGACGGTAGTAGGTGATGAGGATAAGTCAGAAGAGAAGACAGCAGTACGTGATGAGGACATGATGTCAGCAGAGAACACAACAGTACATAATGAGGATATTTCAGCAGAGAAGACAGCAGTACGTGATGAGGACATGATGTCAGCAGAGAAGACAGCAGTAGGTGATGAGGACATGTCAATAGAGAAGACAGCAGTACGTGATGAGAACATGTCAACAGAGAATACAGCAGTAGGTGATGAGAACATGTCAACAGAGAAGACAGCAGTACGTGATGAGGACATGTCAACAGAGAAGACAGCAGTACGTGATGAGGATAAGTCAACAGAGAAGACAGCAGTAGGTGATGAGGATAAGTCAGCAGAGAAGACAGCAGTACATGATGAGGATAAGTCAGCAGAGAAGACAGCAGTACGTGATGAGGATAAGTCAGCAGAGAAGACAGCAGTACGTGATGAGGACATGTCAATAGAGAAGACAGCAGTACATGATGAGGACATTTCAATAGAGAAGACAGCAGTACATGATGAGGACATTTCAATAGAGAAGACAGCAGTAGGTGATGAGGATAAGACAGCAGCAGGTGATGCAGATATGTCAGCAGAGAACACACCAGTACATGATGAGGACAAGTCAGCAGAGAACACACCAGTATATGATGAGGACATGTCAATAGAGAAGACAGCAGTACGTGATGAGGACATGTCAGCTGAGAATACAGCAGTACGTGATGAGGATATGTCAATAGAGAAGACAGCAGTACGTGATGAGGACATGTCAATAGAGAAGACAGCAGTACATGATGAGGACATGTCAATAGAGAAGACAGCAGTACGTGATGAGGACATGTCAAAAGAGAAGACAGCAGTACATGATGAGGACATGTCAATAGAGAAGACAGCAGTACGTGATGAGGACATGTCAGCTGAGAATACAGCAGTACGTGATGAGGACATGTCAGCTGAGAATACAGCAGTACGTGATGAGGATATGTCAATAGAGAAGACAGCAGTACGTGATGAGGACATGTCAACAGAGAAGACAGCAGTAGGTGATGAGGATAAGTCAGCAGAGAAGACAGCAGTAGGTGATGAGGATAAGTCAGCAGAGAAGACAGCAGTAGGTGATGAGGATAAGTCAGCAGAGAAGACAGCAGTACGTGATGAGGATAAGTCAGCAGAGAAGACAGCAGTACGTGATGAGGATATGTCAATAGAGAAGACAGCAGTACATGATGAGGACATTTCAATAGAGAAGACAGCAGTACATGATGAGGACATTTCAATAGAGAAGACAGCAGTCAGTGATGAGGATAAGACAGCAGCAGGTGATGCAGATATGTCAGCAGAGAACACACCAGTACATGAGAGAACACAGAGAACACACCAGTATATGATGAGGACATGTCAATAGAGAAGACAGCAGTACGTGATGAGGATATGTCAGCAGAGAATACAATAGAGAAGACAGCAGTACGTGATGAGGACATGTCAATAGAGAAGACAGCAGTACATGATGAGGACATGTCAATAGAGAAGACAGCAGTACATGATGAGGACATTTCAATAGAGAAGACAGCAGTACATGATGATGACATGTCAATAGAGAAGACAGCAGTACGTGATGAGGACATGTCAATAGAGAAGACAGCAGTACGTGATGAGGACATGTCAGCTGAGAATACAGCAGTACGTGATGAGGATATGTCAATAGAGAAGACAGCAGTACGTGATGAGGACCTGTCAATAGACCATACAGCAGTAGGTGATGAGGACATGTCAATAGAGAAGACAGCAGTACGTGATGAGGACATGTCAACAGAGAAGACAGCAGTACGTGATGAGAATAAGTCAGCAGAGAAGACAGCAGTAGGTGATGAGGATAAGTCAGCAGAGAAGAAAGCAGTACATGGTGAGGACATGTCAGCAGATAAGACAGCAGTACGTGATGAGGATATGTCAACAGAGAAGTCAACTGTATGGAATGAATTGACAAGAGAAATGTCAAGTGCGTGTGATCAGAGATTTTTCAAAGAAAAGACAACTGCATTTGATGAAGTTTTGTCTAAGGAGATGTCATCAGTGTGTGTTATTGAGTCATTTGAAAAGACACTGATATTCAATGAAGAATTATCAGAAAAGAAGTTGACTGCATGTGATGAGATATCAGGATATATGTCAACTCCATTTGATAAGGAATTTTCCAAAGAAAATGCAACTAAATTTGAGGAACAGTTGTCAATGATGTTACCGCCATATGGGGAAAAAATGTCAGGAGAGAAGGAAACTGCATGTTATGAAGAGTTGCTGACAAAGAAGGCAGGTGTACATGATGAAAAATTGTCGCAAGAGTTGTCAACATCATGTGATGAGGACTTGTCAGAAGAGAATTCAATTGTAGGTGATGAAAAATTATCAGGAGGAAAGGCAATTGTATTTGATGAAGATTTGTCTGCAGAAACATTAACAGATTGTGATGAGAATTTGCTAGAGGAGAAAGTACCATGTAATTTAGATTTGTCAGGAGAGAGATCCTGTGTGTGTGATGAAAATGTTGTTGTACCAGTCAGCCAAAAACAAGAATTATCTAAGGATCAGGAAAAACATTGAAGGTAACATAAAATTGAAATACACGCGTATAAGTGTTCAAACATTCTCATTCAATTAATATTGACCCATTTATATCTTTCAAAGGATATTAGTAATAAGAATAAGATTGTTAATTATAACTACTTCTCTATTTATATTTGCAGCCTTTGATTGAGGATGATTACATCAAACATGATGATGATGATGATGATGATGATGGTTGGTTTGGTCCACGGAAACTGTTCTTTTTCCATATAGATTATTTTAAGGTATAATTAACCGTAGTTTAAATTTCTTTTTGATTTGGTTTTCTAATTTATATATAATCTATTCCTAGCCCCTATAGCTTTCTTTTTTTTTTTTTAAATATAATATATATTGATTGATTGTATACTGTTTAACATCCCTCTCCAGAATATTTCACTGATATGGAGACGTCACCATTGCCGGTGAAGGGCTGCAAATTTAGGCCTATGCTCGGCACTTAAGGCCTTTGAGCAGGGAGGGATCTTTATCGTGCCACACCTGCTGTGACAAGGGGCCTCGGTTTATACGGTCTAATCCAAAGGACCGCCCCATTTAGTAGCCTTTTACGACAAGCAGGGGGGTACTGAGAATCTATTCTAACCCGGATCCCCTCGGGGCAATATAATATATATAATATATAAATGTGTATACATTGTACTTTAATTTTAAGGCCTCTCCCTAATTTAATAAATCTTATATTTATAACAATTACATGTATATTATTTTCTGTACTTTGTCTGTAGAAATTGAATGATATCAACCTCAAAAAAATTATTATGTTTTTAACTTATCCTACCCTGAAAACAAACCTACCCTGAAAACAAAAATATTTTAGCTATTATCTATACGTATGTACATTATGATATTGAACGTTTTAATGAATAATTATTATGTTAATTAATTAATTTTTTTTTTAATTTGATGTAGGCTGCTGGAAAAGATTTCTGCTAACAAGAAAGAAAAGAAAGACATTTTTTTAGATATAAAAACCCTTGTTTCTAAGGAAAAAATAAAGATTTTTTAGGTCAAAATTCTTTCTGCTTGATTGTATGGTTGAAGTCAATTATTATGCTTACAGAGGTCAAAATTCAGGTTTACACTTTTTCTTGGCATGGCGGGTGTGACCGGTCGGTAGGGGATGCTCACTTTTCCATGGCACTTGATCCCATCTCTGATGTTTCAGAGGTCTGTGTTTGCTCTGTTCCTATGCTGTTGTTAGATGGACTTTTGAGCTTGAATACTGTTCATTATCTTGATATATTTCACTTATTACACAAGCATAATATTCTAGCCGTGAGGCCATCTTTAAAAAAATGTTTGATTGCCTTCTCTCAACTCAGGGTAAATTATTGGGTTGGTAGGTAGGAGGAAAAATCTTTTTTTTCCCAGAAAATTTCAACATATTTGATAAAAGGGTAAGAGAATAAAAAAAATTAATAATATCCTGTCCTGGTATGTAAAAAAAGTACCATATTTAGTCGGTTGGGAGAGGGCAACCATTTTTTAAAGACGGCCCGACATATGATAAAATGTAAAGAGAATATGCATGTGTCGATCTTTTTTTCTCGTCTATGAAAGTCTTCTAAATAAGCATTGGCTCTTGTGCCCATATATTAAACTTAGATTATAAATACAGTATATACTCGCCTATAAGTTGGTCCATCTATAAGTCGGTTGTATTTTTAAGCTTAAGAAAGACTCGAACCTTCTATAATACCAATCTTTTTATATCTCATGCATAAGTCTGGCATAGAGTTTAACTCCCAAGAAGCCGACTTATAGGCAAGTATATACGGTAAATAATTGTCACTTGTATTCTAAACAAGAGGCCCAAGGGCCTTGAACCGCTCTTCTGATAAATTGTACAATCTATCACTTCTATTAGAAGCCTCCAATTCTATTAGTATCATAAGACCCAAAATGCATCAACTTACAAAGTTTGATAATATTTAGCCAGTTAAGACTGAAGATATTATAATATAATTATAAAATACCATAAGAAGGTCACAGTGACCTACCTTTTAATTGAAATTTTCTGAGGACTCAATATACATTAATTGACAAAGACTGATGATTCTAATTAAATAAGGACCTGAGATATTCAAAAGTAGGTCACCATGACCTACTTTTTGGTCAACATTCTCTGAAAACCCAAGATGCATCATCTGACAAAGTTTGATGATTCTAAGCCAATTAGTACCAGAGATAATTAAATATAGCCATCAAATGTCAAAAGTTAGGTCACAGTAACCTACTTTATGGTCGACGTTATTAAAAACCCATAATGCCTAAACTGACAAAATTTGATGATTCTAAGTCAATAAGCACCTGAGATATTTAAAATTAGGTCACCGTGACCTACTTCTTGTTGGACATTCAATGAAACCCTAAGATGCCTCAAATGACAAAGTTTGATAATTCCGAGCCAATAAGTACCAGATATAATTAAATATAGCCATAAAATGTCAAAAGTAGGTCACAGTGACCTACTTTTTGGTCGACGTTCTCTGAAAACCCAAGGTGCCTAAACTGACAAAGTTTGATGATTTTAAACTAATACGTGCCTGAGATTTTCAAAAGTAGGTCACCGTGACCTACTTTTTGGTCGACATTCTCCGAAAACCCAAGATGCCTCAACTGACAAAGTTTGATGATTCTTAGCCAATAAGTGCCTGAGATACTTAAACATAGCCATGAAAATGTCAAAAGTAGGTCACTGTGACCTATTCTTTGGTTGAAAACCCAAGATGCATCAACTGACAAAGTTTGATGATTTTAGGTCAATAAGTACTACTTAATTATAGTCACAAAATGTCAAAAGTAGGTCACCATGACCTACTTTTTGGTCGTCACTCTCTGAAAACCCAAGATGCATCAACTCACAAAGTTTGATGATTGTAAGCCAATAAGTACCGGAGATACTTCAATAAAGCCATAAAATGTCAAAAGTAGGTCACCATGACCTATTTTTTGGTTGTCACTCTCCGAAAACCAAATATGCATTGACTCACAAAGTTTGATGATTCTAAGTCAATAAATACCAAAGATATGTAAATATAGCCATAAAATGTCGAAAGTAGGTCATCATGACCTACATTTTGGTTGACATTTTTTACAGACCCAAGATACATCTACTGACCAAGTTTGATGATCGTAGGTCTGAAGGTAATCAAAATATGCGTTTTAAACAATTTGAAAACAAATTTCGGCAAAATTCAAAAAGTAGGTCAGTGACCTACTATTTCATAAATATATTTAAGGTCCCAAGATGCATCAATGTACAAGATTTGATGATTCTAAACCTCCCAGTGTCTGAAATAATGGGATTTCATGTTTTTAAAAGGATAAGTCATAAAGTTTAAAAAGTAGGTCATGGTGACCTACTTTTAAGTTGACATTGTTTGAGGACCAAGATGCATCAACTGACAAAGTTTGATGATCATAGGCCTTAAAGTGTTCAAAATATGCCTTCAAATCATTTTAAAAACAAATCCCCACAAAATTTAAAAAGTAGGTCACCGTGACCTACTTTTGAGTTAACATGAAGTGAAGTTGTAAGATGCATCAACTTACAAGATTTGATGATCCTAGTCCTTATAGTAAGCAAAATATACACGTTTTTATTAATTGTAAATTTAGGTCAACTTTGAAGTGACCTTGAGACCACGCCCTTTGCCCCAGGGTAATTCCCCGTGCAAATTTTAATTTTCGACATATCCTCATCCTTGTATGTAAGTTTGGTGAAAATCTGCTTGGTGGTTATGGAGAAGAAGATTTTTTAGCAACCAGTACTTTTGG